TGCATCATTAAAATTTCGGTAAGTAATTAATTTCAACTCCGTACGTAACTGATCGTGGTGGTTATGCTAGGTTCGTGTGCGGATAACCCGGGTGATACCAACCCGGGTACCATCACTACACAGGTTAGTCCATTATATAAAAAGATATTCAAATAGAGTCTCACTGTAGGCAATAATACTTATATGATGATATTATGTGATTCCATTCATAATACGAATGCCGAATAAATAAGTTATAAAAGTAATTTGTTGACTTATATTTTTCTCATCCACTAGCTTGGCACCCAATAATACTTGCATATAATAGAGGGGTGTATATGCTATAGACTGTTACGCAGTAATGTAGTTCACTCTACTAACCTATTGTATGACAAGGTTATTGCACTGTCGAGGGTTGAATCAAAAATATAAGTTATTATGTAGTTAAAAAATATCACACAAAGTTTTATCGGCGTGGTGGCCACACAAAGATATTTACTTTGCATATGTACTGATAAACCACGTTATTTTAATGATGAGAATTTATATATTTCTGAAATCCAACGTTTTATCCATTTATAGTTTGATAATGCTTTCGAAGGGGTTAATAATCTTTATGATATGGGGGCAATCAAAACGAATAAGGAACAACCACTTACTTTAGACCAAATTAAAAAGAGTATAAGTGAAGTAAAAAGAAAGCTCGGAAAAGATACTTCGCCCCTTTATCAGCGTTTATATTCTGGTGTAGATAAAATATCAGTTCAAGAATTGACCTGGAAAGATTCTTTAGCCAATCAAATTATTAGAGATAATTCAGATCTTATTCAGAAATTACCGGGAAATTTTAAAAAAGCATTTATGGTATATATGTGTCTTGACACTAATTTCGTTATTTATACTTGTTTTGTAAACATATATTAGCTAGTAAGACTAATATTTATTTTTAATAGAAACCGATAAGATCGATGAAACCCGTTCCTATACCAAGAATCGAAGATATGTGCAGAAGGTTTGCATCCAATTTTTTATCTGAAAATTTAACAAGTTTGCCATATGATTTGTCACATGCAAAAGACTGGAAAGAGAGTGAAGATAAGCTTGAAGAAGTCACGTTAAAAATTTTGGAAACCTTAAGATCTGTTTGGTGTAATCCAGCTTTTCATTCTGAATTCATTGGTACAATGAATGAAGGTACCTATGTAAATAATATAATTGTACCATTAATTAATGCCTGCCTATTTAATAATCACTTTGGGGAATCGGCATTTATTACTACGTAAGTTTATATAATATTTTAGTAAAAAGTCTTAAAGAGGTGCCTTTTAGACCTGAATCAATATATAATAAAGAAAATTTATTTTTAGTTTTGAGCGACAAAGTGTAGCCAGTGCTGATAGAAGAGGAGATGAGAAAGTGGGGAGGCGACCTGATATTATGTTTATAAGTAAGGAAGATGACAAATTTTATGAATTAATGTATGCAGAATGTTCCAAGATTATCTGTACGAAACAAAAAGAAGAAGAAGATGATATAAAATTATGGCGTGAGTGCAACGATGGATTATACTGGGCTCAAAAAAGTCGTAGGTTGGAAAAGGAACAATTTGGTATTATTGGAATACAAGTTTCTGGATGTAAGTTGACTTTGAATGTCCTTATTAGAGATGAGCTGGAAATCCATCGATATTATAAATTACATGAAACAGAGATCCCTATTCGATATTCCAATGACCCTGCCATTTTAGCTGATTTTATATATACTTTATTATTATTCCGCAATACATTAATAGTTAATGTCTCTATTACGCAGTGCGCATGATCGCAGGTCAAATAGAAATTTAGATAGTTCGACAGTAACAACCCCTCCCAGTAATTAGATAGATTTTATCATATATTTTATTGCAAAGCAATGGGTTACGCCCTATCCTGTATTATCATCATATATTTTATTAATAAAGATTTCAGTTAGAGGAACGATGTATCATGTGATATTTTTCATGATATGATGTTACATGTGATCTAAAATTTTTCTTGCCGAAGTGCGTGAATTTTTTTCACGGAGTCATGTGATTTTCACCCTAGCTTTTGAACATATCTACATCTTATATAAAAATGGCAAATACACAATCCAAAGTCGATTTATTAGAAGATCAGAATTCCAAACTTATGGCTGAGATTGCAGAATTAAAAAGAGAAAAGGTCGAATTCTTAGCTAAGGAAGCGAGGTCTATGGCTAGAATAATAGAATTGGAACAATCCATAAAAGAGAGTGCAGAGAACAAAAAATTACGAGACACCGAACTCAATGAAGGGAATGCTAAGCGAGATGCTGAAATTACAGAGCTTAGATCCAAGATAGCAAAATTAGAATACATCATTGAGGAAAACAGACTCAAAATATCCCGCTCCGAAGAAAATTGTAACAAAACTATTACTAATGAACAGGATATACCTCCTACAGAAGAAATTCTGCCCACATCATCTGAGAACAATTTTGACTGTACCAGCTCCACTGAAGATTCGGAGCAAAATCCTAATATTGCTGTAAGTCAGCCCCGGTTGATAGCTCTGAACAAATTGACTTACAATGCAATAATACTCTGGTATCCGATAATACTTCAACACAAATGTGCAGGCTTATGCCAAATTCTAATGAATCCAACGTCAATCCTTATTCTGATGAATACCAGCCTGTCCATACAGAGCCGGAATCGTTATACGAAAAGGAGACTAAAGAATTTTTGATTCGGAAACATAAAGAAAGGATTATAGTCAAACCCCTCTATAGTCACACCTTCGGGATACAAAAAACTGTGATTATATAGGGGTGTGACTAATATAGAGGTATTCTCTATATAGTCACAGTTATATTTTAAAAAAAAAACGTGACTATATAGAGGTTTTTTTAACAAAATATAAATACTAACAAACCACAATATATATAATATCCGGTACTGTATATATACAGTATATGTATATATCTTTTGCACAAAATTAATATCAATTGTGCAAATAAATAGTACATAAGATACTCGTGGTATATACCATTTTTATAAGTTCTTTTTTTACTTAATCGCGATTTTACTCAAATTATGCAAAATAATTCTTGCATTCTAAATTTTTTTTTAATCCGAACTGCTAAACCTTTCTTGGGACATTAATCAAAAATTTCGGGAAGGCAATTTTATCTATACTCCTCTTCTTTATATCAACATCAAACTGACCCAATCCTAACCTTAATTTTAATTAAAACGATTAAACCGTCAAAATTACGTGGGTGCCCCTTTTCCACTTGACAGCATTCATATAATGTTTCTTTGTATATGCGAAATCTAAGATCTTTGCATTTATTTAAACTGAAAATACAATTTGATCCAATTATTTTATTCGGGAGCATTTTTGGAATTGAACCCACCCTGAATTACTACAGTCTTCCTCCTCTATAATCACCTCCTATATAATCACAACTCCCATATAATCACATTAATTTTTGAGACAATTTATTAAAAAACTTATAAAAAAAGACTTCTATATAATCGCACTCTTTTATAATCACCAATTTTCTTGATACAAACTGTGTGATTATAGAGGAGGAAGACTGTATTTGATTATTACATGACATATGCGTTAACCATACGACACATCTATTAAACGAAACCCCAAAATCAATAAAACTTATATAATTATCACGTCAAACTGATTCGGTCAACGATGTTTGACAAAACTATATGCGGTACTATAAAAAAATTAATTAAGGTGTTTTTTTTTGAATTTAGTGATCAGAATATTGATAAGGATTATTTATTACCTTTTATATATGCTTTAATAGTAAAAGATGGCTTGCATGTTTTTAAATATCTAGAGCGAATCGATTTACTTTTCTCAATTATTTTAGCATAATTCTATTCTTAAACATGTTTATAACAAAGTTACGTTGAAATTTTTTTAACGTTGATATTTAAGTTTCAAGTTGATTCTTTACAAAAATTCTGCTTCATCTTGTGAACGATTTAAAGAAAGATGTCTTCATTATAAGTAAAAAAAATTTAATACTAGAACATAAAATTTTTTAACATAACTTTGTTATAAACGTGTTTAAGAATAGAATTATGCTAAATTAATCGAAAAATGTAAAGCGATTCGCTCTAGACATCTAAAAACATGCAAGTCATCTTTTACTATTAAAGCATATATAAAAAGTGATTAATAATCTGATCACTATCCTGATCACTAAATTCAAAAAAAATCCTTAATTGATTTTTATATAATACCGCATATAGTATTGTCAAACATAGTTGACCGAATACCCAACATCAAACCCATTGGCCCACCTTAAAATCCATCTCTTTTTTACTTTAAATTCATCACTTTTTACAAATGTATTTATAGTCAAATGTTTGACTCACTATTATAACTGCATCATAAACCTAGGGTTGTATAAAAAGTCACCCTAATGTACAGGATTTTGTGATCTTTGAATTTAGAAGTAATTTTCATATATACATGTTACATACATATCAGTTACTTATCAGTTTTTATATTTTAATTTAGTAACTCATCATTTTTTATACAAATATAAGTTCTCAATTATTACAGTATTTTGATTGTACATTTTCGCTCATATATTTAACGCGTCAAGCATCATACCCAGCCTATTTATCACTTGGATTTCATTTATAGAATATGCATATCTGGCATATGATAGTCCACACTGCAATAGACAAATATGCCCTCGTACAACTTAGAGTGCATTTTAGTATTCTTTGAAGAATTCTAAGTTCAGTGCATCAATACGATTTGGAGTATATCCGATGGATATAGATACTCTATAAATATATATTCTTACTAGATTGGACCCTTTTTCTTTATTTTACAACAAAAAAGATATACATTGTACAATATTGATTTTGAACAATAAAATATTATATTATATAAATATGCAGGCATTAAAATATTGGTGATTCAGTTTTTATTATGTTTAAGTGACTGTTTTAAGTACAACATTGTTAGCAAAGAAAAAGTAAACATGATCAGGGCGGCCTCCGATTTTACAGGTCATATAGGTGGCACCACCAATATTCATTATGCAATGCAGAATCAAAATTTTCAAAGCGATAAAAAGCGATAGACTGAATTTAATATTAATTCGTTTGCAGCAATTGCTGTAGGTGGCATTACCTACATGACCTGTAAAATCGATGGTTGTCCTGTTCATGTCTCAAAAAGTGCCTATTTATTTTCTAACCATTCTAAAATCAAATTTTTGTCCATTTTGTCCATTATTTTCAAGACACCTAAAACAATGAATAGATATTTTTTGCTCTGACTGGCTAGTTAATCTATAATTCAGGTTAAATCGATATGTGTGTGTGTACAAACCAGTCAAACAATAGGATTTCGAGATAGCCGTTTATGGCTCTATTCAATTGCTCACTAGTGATGAGCTAATTTAGAAATAATTTTTAAAAGAATGCTATGCATGTATGTTGTTTTAGAAGTTATTTCTATATTAGATCTTTAATAGCTAGAAGTGAATGATGTTATTGTATTATATATTTGCAGATTAATATAAACCACATTTCTTATAAAAAAAAAAAAAGTTCATTAAAAAAAAAATTCGCCTCATCGTATAAATAAACAAACTATAGCATTCATGCCTGAGGGCATCCACTTTGTGAAAAAAAAAAAAACATACCATTTTTTTAAATCAACATAATGCCACCCAAATCTAAAAAACATATTGTCATATAAGCGACAAACAAAAAAAAAAATCTGTGAGTTTGCTAAAAAAAACCCAACCTATAAGCAGCATGAGATT